TCTTTTTTTTTGTTTAATTCAATCGCTTTGTCAGCTGAATTAGTTCTTCGATACGTTTCAATAAGCAATTACTAATAATAATAATCGAACAAAATGGTTCATGTCCCCACTCTTTCTCTCTCTCCGTGTTCGTTCATCGCTCGCATCATGAAATTCGTATATCAAACATCCTGCACATGGTGAGCTTCATTCGAATGGGAAATTTGGGACACACACACACACACACATCGAGTGCAGAAAAGTCGCTGCGGCCGCATCTGATTCGCAGCATAATAGCGACAAAGCATTGACACACACACACACACACACACACACACACACACACACACACACACACACGCACACACGCACACAATAGAGATCGGATGAGTGGCTCAATTGATTTTCTATGGAATCGGCCAATTCTATGATGTTTAATTGATAGTTTACTTGGGCAGAAAAATGTGCGCGACGTTGCCATATTACGTGCATAAAATGGATATTGTTACCATTCAGTGGTGCAGGCAAAGAAAAACCATAAAAAATGCTTCAATAAATGAAACAATGCAAAATGTGGCGATCAACGGTGGTAACAAAGCTGGTGTAGTCGTAGTAGAAAAAAAAGGAGAGAATTGTACGTCCATTCACGTTGAACATTCACAAAATGTTTGTCACCTTCCATTCAGTTTGCATGAGCTCATTTGAAATTCGTATGAAATAGCATGATTTTACAGCATTCATAGTGAGTGAGAAATGCAATTGCAAGCGAACGAATAACAGCAAAAAATATATATAGAGATAGAAAAACTACAGCATTTAACTAATGGTACACGTTTTGATTATTGTTTTAATACAACCATTTTTTTTCCCTCCGTTTTGCTTGTTCGTTTCAAAATCATAATTTCCCATGAAGTACTTGCAAAGTTAACATCACACCAATCAAAAGCATGCACATGATTTGCATAGAAAATGTGGTGCACATTCGCGCTTTCGATGCATTTGGTTCGGTGTGACTGTGTGTGTATGGGTGTGTCTGTGTATGTATGTATGTCGAAACCAGGTTTCCGCCAATTTTTCTCCCTTTCGCTCGTTCCTTCGTCAAGCGTTTGGCTCAAATATGCACAATTCATTGTCATGATCGCAAAAGAATTTCAAGTATCCATAAATTACCAAGTGCTTTTTCGGATGTTAACATAGCGAATTTTCCTCAAACAAATACGCGCGCGACGATATACATTGCCCTCCTGACTAAATGAAGTGGCGTCGGAAAATATGTTTGCCTGAATTTTCCACTGCTGTTTTGGTTTTCGCTCTTTTTCTGTCCCACTATTCCCTTCCTCATTTGCGTCGCTTTTTATTTCGCTGGGCATTTGTGACATCCTTAATGAAAATTCTCTCGCTTTTTATTTTGATTATAAAATATTTTCCAACAAGTACACCATGTCCGGAGTAGGTCAGGAGGTTTACTGATAAATTCCATTGAAATTTGAAGTGATGTGAAACAATTGGCAAAAATTAAAATCGACACACACACACACAGTCAATGGCATCACACAATCCAATATAGCCATATATAAGCCTTAACATTCAAAATTACAATTAAAATGAAGCAATAAAAAAAACGGCCATATTATTTCATTTTTTCCTCATATTTCTTTTCCTTTCTCTGGAAATGTTACCATCGAATGTGTAATAGGCTTAAGTTCGATACGTATAATACCGTTTTATGCGCCAATCGAAAAACGAATGGCCGGCGGAAAGATTCGTATAACAGTCACGTAATTCCAAACTGTAATATCCTTTTGAATAATTTGTTAGTGAATAAAAAAGGGATTTTTGTGTGCTAAAGCCGACAGAGAGAGGGGAGAGAGAGATAGAGAGAGAGAGAATGAACTCGAGACACAAGTATATGTCGGAAACAAATGTATTCTATTGGCATAGAAATGCATATTAAATAATTTCTATTCGACACAATCCAAAAAGGATGCTCAATTTCTATATCTACGAAAAGGATAATCTATTCGGTCGTTCGTTCGTTCGTTCGCTACTTCATTCTCATTTGAATTACTAATCGGTTGGTTTCCATGACTATAGCATATCCAATATAGCGAATGCTAAAGTGCTTTCGAATTTGTAAAACGATTTTGAAAATCATCCACTGAACAAGCGATTTATTCGATTTAATTGCTTTTCATAGTCGACCGACGAAAATCACAAACTATTTTAACGAACCAGCACAATGTCATGCATCACCATATATTTGCGACGAAAATCGTAATTGAGATAAATTTTGTCCCATTATCAGTACAATAGCACTGCAGAGAACACATGTATTTAACGATGATCACAAAGACTTTCCAAGAAACTAACAATTCAATGGTTCAAATAACATTCACAATTCAAACTTTTCCACTTAGCGATTAGATTTGTCTATGAACAAATTGCTTAAACCAACCAATATATGAAGTCTACAGTGAATACTGACAGATTTGCTTGTCGCATTGCCTTCAATTCTATTGTAATGTTTGAATTCATATTTTACGTTTTTTGCCTATCTTTTCATCCGAGTACCAAATACTTTGTAACACACGACTGTGAAATTAAATACAAACGTTTGGCCGTGTAATGAAAACACAATTCGTTTTTTTGTTGTTGTTATTGAATTTATTCTTTGTAAAAATGAAATATGAGAATTTTGCCAAAATATCTACAACACTTCTTGAATTTTTTCTTTGCTTATACTAATGTAAATTGTAGAAAACATTTTCTTTGTGGGTGTCAGTTTGTTATTTTTTATTAAGTAATTAGTAGCGTCAATATTTTGTGCTTCAAATCAAATTACATGTGCATTTTTTTTGTGCAATGGATTCAAACGAAAACTTTGCCGTGACAAGTGGAGCAGTGCGTTTCTTTTAAAGATCTATCATGTTTTACTACGTAATTCTGCAAAAATTCATCTTCAATATTCCGATACAAATTTACTGTGTAGTTTGACAAGTATTCGCTCAGAGATTCACAATCGTTGGTAGCACAATGTTTGGTGAGCAAACAATAGATATCGACGACAAAAATGTCTACCGATATGAAGCGCCCTAGAGATTCCTGGATGTGTCGTGCATGGTCAGTTAGCAACTGTTTAACAATCGCAAAAAACTTTGTTGCCATTTCATACGGTAGTTGCTTCATGATCTGAACAATTGTTTCGTGCAATTCATTTGTGTTGGCCGCTGGGGAGCATTTTTCCAAGTCTGCCGCATATTCGCATGCGAATTCATCAATCAATAGTTCCAATTTACGGTTTTCACTTAGATCACAATCGAATCCATACGTCTCATCGTAAATTGATTCAATTTGTTCAAGTGATTCAACCTTTTCAACGCTGATAGTCTCACGGATTTCGGCATCGATTGATTGTAATTCATCATCTTTCTTCGACAGAATATAACTATTCAAATCGGTGTGTTCGATGGCCGATCGGTGTGCCAGCTTAATATGCATCATTTTCAAGAAACGTTCAAAATGGACGGATGTCTTTATACGTACAATCGATTGTGCTATTTCGATGACAAACTGTTCGACGAATTGCAGAAATTTATTACAGGCTTTGAACGTCATTTCTCGTAGCAAATTGATTACGGGCCGTAGAAGTGAATTTAAATTCCCAATATTTAATTTCCGCCCCAAGGATCGGATAATTTTATTCACATGCTTATCAAATTCAACGCAGTATTCACGTACAATCGATGGAGCTAAGATGCCGCAAACACCTTTCATCATATCTTCGATGGAAACTTCAGCGCTTTGTACCTTTCTCAATATCATTTGAAGCATTTCCATTAACACTCTCGGATCGCTGAGACATCCTTTCAACGAACGCACCACCGGTTTGGCTACAGTAGATCCGCAAACTTTTGCCGTTCGACCGACCAAATCTTTGAACGATTTTTTTTGGCTTACGCACAAAAGTGATGTCATTGACTCGATCTCGCTTAGATCGGTGGCCATCAGTTGTTTGGCCGCTTGAAAATTGCTCACCGAATGCCGAACCAAGAACAAAGCAATAACTAATCGCACCATTTGCTGGCCCGAAATTGGTTCACGTTTCAAAAGTGCACTGACTATCGAAAATGATTCATCTACGCATGCACCAGTATTCAGACCAATCGCTCCAATACTTATGACACGAGTGGAGTTTCGTGCCAAAGTCGATATATTTCGTCCATTGCGTGCGGCCCGTGCAACCAATTGTGTAGCACCTGCTGCTGATGCCGACACTATACCCGCACCGACATTGAGCCATGCGCCACGTGCTTCCTTGTTCTTCAATCCAATGCTTTGCTTATGCTTTTTGCGATCAAACAGATTGTAACCACTGCGAAGTCCTGTGAAAACAGCACACGTCACTCCTGCAACAGTTGCAACACCTAAAACCACCGGAGCAATGGTCACTGCTGGTATTAATGAAATACCACCGATTGCTGCTGACGCCAAACCTGAACGGGAAAAATTATTTGCATTAAATTAACGATTATGGATTCCATTAAATGATCACCCACTAACCAATCACCGTTGATCCAGTGTCTAATTTCCTTGTAACACCCGATTTCCGTAAGAAAATATCCAATAAAACCAGATCGGTTGATGGTAAACCATTATAGATGCCCATTTTCGGTGCAATCACAAGACCATCATCGTATTTATTGTTGTTACGAAAATCATCCCAGTTTCCATAGACTCGACCGTGTTCATCGACAAAAATGGCACAGTGCTTGTTTTGACCATTCTCGTCAATCGAATTGCCACTGCATTTTTGAATACGAAATAATGAATGAACCGAAAAGTGTTTTGATTTGATATTAAACGGATAGGTGATACGGCCAGTGATGTTTGTGTCGTAGACAACACACACAAATATGGGTGACATGAGCAGTTGAAAATTTCCACGATGACTTCTTTGCGACCAAATCATGTCGATCAATCGAGTTTTATTCACTTTATCCAAACCGGGCAATAGTACGTCGATTTTCATCTCAACAAACACTTTACTTGCATAACAATCATAAATGAGATGTGAACCATAGCCGAAGATTTCGTAAAAACTTTGCTGCATTTGTATTATATCTACAGGCATTTCATTATCTACACCAATATTACATTCATCACTTTCGTCCATTGTTTGTTTATTTTGACTTTGATTTTTATGAATGGACTAACTTTTAATCAATCAATTAAACGGGCAATAATTGATATATGAAACGATTACGAATACTTTTGAACAAATTAAATATTCAAGATTAAAATGTATAAATTTAAGGTATGTACATCATTGGATTGGCTGCTTTCACTATTTACAAGCATTTTTCTTCATACGTCAATTACCTGTCAAAAAATGTATGGATGGAGATGCCCAATCGAAATGACTCTCATTACGATCGAGTTGACTTGTTTATTTGACAGGGTTGGAATATACGCCAAATTGTCTTGAATATTTTCTCTTTGTACTTTTGTGTGAGTGGTTCGTTTACAGAGTCAGTTTCATTCAAATTACCAATTTAAAGTGCTTCTCATTTCGATTCTATCGTTTCAAAGTATTTTAATTATTCTTCAATACGTATGTAAAGGATACTTTACAGCATTGACTGTTTGCTGGATGAAATTTTCCATGAAATAGAGACGTATTTAAAGTATCCAAAATCAAATATTCGAAGTTTATATTGGTTACAGAAAACCCCATAACTTTTCTCTAATTGGAACTCATATATGTATATTTTCCGTGATCATAGTAGCTAGTTATTCTGTGTGAAAATAAAATAGTAAGAGTAGCTGTTCATATCGCAGCTTAAATCCAAACAAATCCTTTGCTTGTGTGTAAAAATCATGATCCATAGCCATGCGTTCCATAAGCTTTGGGTCATGTCCTGTGTTTGTGTGTGTGTGTGTGTGTGTGTGTGTGTGTATGTGCATGGCTCACTACATGTGGTGTATTTGGATTAGTTATGGTCGTTGATGAAATCCGCGTTATATTTAACAGGATGCGAAACAAAAGATTTGAGAGATAAATTGTTCAAGCTCTATTTGGCAAATAGACCATAGACCACTGCTGCTACTGCGGTGACTGATGATATTCGAGTAAATGTTTCATGTGTATCTTGGTATCGGATCACATCAATGGCTAAATATTCGGTGAGCACGGAGATCTTGCTTGGTCATTTAAAGAATAAATAAAATTCATAAAGTACCGAGAAAAACACTCCCATAAAATGTGTCTCGAGCCAAGTGCCAACAAAATGCATTTCAAAATATGGACGAAACACACGGATTGCGTGTTCACTGCACATAATTTGTTTATTGACAACGGTTTAAAGGCATCGATTTATACGCATACATGCATACACACCGACAGTCTGCCCGTGCCCAATTTCTCCAATCTCTTTCGGTACATTGGTTCGCATGAATAGTTTATGACTATTGCATTCATTGGTTCATTGAGATTAGATTCGATTACTCTGAATACAAAGATAAGCCTTTCATTTGTTGTTTGATTTCGATAAATTCAATATTGTGTGTGCTTGCTTCAATATAGACAATTCGCATGACAAAAGAAGATATTGGATACTGAATATGATGAATATGATAGTAAATAATGCAAGGCCATTTGATGCGAGAGCGAAAGAGAGAGAGAGAGAGAGAGAGAGAGAGAGAGAGAGAGAGAGAGAAAGGGAATGAGAAACACAGAGAGAATTAATATCGTTTCGATGAGCACATCGACTCCGAATCACAGCCAGTTCAAAGCAAAGCGTTTTCTTTCTTCCTTTCATTCTCACTCTCTTCTTTTTCCTCATTCCACTGTATTTATTCTTATGAAAACTTGAAAGTTTTCTTCATCAAATGCGATGAGAGCATTCTTTGGGCACACAATTAATTCTCTCTGTTGTATGGGATCGGATAAAAGTATTTATTTTATATTTGTTCAGTCGATGTGGATTAGCTAAGCGGAGGGATTTTTCTCATTTTCTCCCACCCTCGTTTCATCGTTTGTGTGTGTGTGTTTTTATCTTTTGTGAAAGCAAAAACTTCATCTTTCCCCATAGACTTGATTTGCTATCAAGTTTGTACTTTTTGCCTCTGTCTCTCTTTCTCTCTATCTCTGGTTCATCTTCTGTGATTGCGTTGCGAATACTATTTCCATAACGATAATAGGTTAATCACATTCTATAAAACTAGTCAGAGCTCATTGTCGTTTTATCTTTTTTTTATCTTCTCGTTTCGTCTATATCACTCGGCATTAAGATTTTTCTTCTTCTGCTTCTTCGTCTTCTTGTTTCAGACCAAATGAAGAGAATTTTAATCGAATTAGCCAATGGGGAGATGTTAACAAACTGAAATATATTCGCAGCAAATGTTATTAGAATTTATAGAAAAAATTTCACAATTTGTCACACTACCTCTTGTTCGATGTGCATTTATAGCGACCGAGGCCGAGTGGCATACCGATTTTTCGATCGGTGACTGCATAGAACCGCGGGAAGAAGAATCAAGTGGTTGGTTGAACGTTAAAAACTTTTATGCGCTGAAATACTCTAATTACTTTTCCGCTATCAACTCAGAATCATATTGAATTTTACTCAAAATTCCATTTTCTACATGCCCCGTTTTTCTTCTGTTCTCTTCCCGCTACACAATTAATCAAAAAGGAATGAAATTAATGATTTAAACCGTTTAAGACCAGCCGAGCAACCGTTTTCTCTTTCTCACGATGGTTTTTAGCACACAATTTGCAGCTGAAACAGATGTATACATTATAACATTTTCTTGCCGCTCTTTCTATTCCTGGAGTTTTGTCATCGTGAATAAAATATTCGTACGAAGTATTAGGCAGGAAAAAAACGGTCCCCATAAAACGACGTAACAAAACTAAAAGAACATGAAAAAACCCAACACAACGGAATGGATACCATGTTAGGCATGTGTCACACACACACACACACACACATATATATATATATATGTACTTATGTATAGAAGCACACGACCACATTCGGGTTAAAAAGGTCGTACTTGTGCATTAACCACTTTAGCGATTGTATATCAATCACAATTCAAACACACATGGCTCAAATTGGATACCATTAGTTATTGTCCCATATCTTTCGGTACATGGATATGGAACCGAGCTGGTTGATAATTAGACGACAAGAAAGGAAAATAAAAATAACGTTTTCATTCATTTGTGAACATATTATTCATGGGCATGCTTTGACGCGGCAAAAAATGAAAATGGTTGACAGACCTTGACGGAAATGAATGAATTATCGGAATGTAATTCAGTTAACCGATCAAAATGTGTACGAACCTACCAAAATGGAATATATCACCTTACGAAAACTCTCCAGGGTTTATATGCAAACAAAAAAAATTCTAATAGAAGAAAACACTTGATTCTAGACTTGATTATCACATACACACAACAAACACATGACGCGAATAGAAGTATAACAGCTCACACAATGTCTATCAACGGTTGCCGCTTAATTTGAGCCATTTATGCATTCACATGATTGATGCGAGTGCACGTACACACACAACACATAGCATAAGCTCATTCAAACTTCAAAGCTTATGGAATAGGACAACAACAGTGACGTGCTAATACTTGATAAACTAATTAGTTTTCACTCGGTTTTTCGAAAGCCTAACAATTAGTGGATTTTGATGTTGACAATAAAATGCTAAACTATAATAAACACATCACCAACGCGCCAAATGCCATGTCGCATACATTACAGCAAGCGCCGAGCAGACGAAATGGTCACATTTTATCGAGATGGTGTCATTACAGATACTTTTATCACACATCAACTTGACATTTATTGAAGATTTTGATTGAGAATTTAAGCGCAAATCAGCTTTTTTTCGTACATATAAGTAAGTGTCATGACAATCGAAGACATGTGGGAAAAAAACAGCACGAAAATTCGTCAAAATATCAAAATATTGTAATGAAATGTGTGCATTATCCCAGATTTATAAGAAATAAACGACCGGATTTTCGAAGGAACCAAACACTAAATGGCTCCTGGTCGACCAACGATAAAAGCCATAATCGTAGTAATAGTATCTTGCTAAACATAATACTCTCAGAGCCCCATTTACGAAAAACGAATAATTTTTTGTATAAATTACCAACCAAAAACCGCAATACCATTTCAAATGGGGTTTAACAAATTATCGGTGACGTCGTTGTGTCATTGGTAGACTACGAGCAGAGCGTTTATGTTTTTGTTCGAGTGTGTCACAACTGTTATTGTATTGACCCATTCAAAGGGCTTTTACTTCTTCTATCGCTCTCTCTCTCTCTCTCTCTCTCTATCTCTCTCTCTCTCTCTCTCTCTCTCTCTCTCTCTCTCTCTCTCTCT